CTCGTTCGCACAACTACGCAGCACGTGGCGCATGTTTGTGCGTTTGCTGGCCTGAATCTGTGCAAGGATAGGCGCCTGCGCAACATGTCACTGCGCCAACGTCTAAACGTTTTTTTTATCACTATTTCTTCACACTGTTCCCTAGTACATCCTAATACCTTTCCATAGGAACTGATTGGGGCTCGTTCGCAAAACTACGCAGCACGTGTTCGTGCGTTTGCTGGCCTGAATCTGTGCAAGGATGGGCCTGTACGCAACATGCTACTGTTTCAACGTCTAGGTGTTGTTTTTACCTCTATTTTTTCACACAGTTCTCTAGTACATCCTAATTCCTAGCCATATGAACTGGTTTGACCTCGTTCGCACAAATACGCAGCACGTGGCGCTTGTTTGTGCATTTGCTGGCCTGAAACCGTGCAAGGATAGGCCTCTGCGCAACATGTCAGTGTTTCAACGTCTGGGTGTTGTTTTTACCTCTATTTCTTCACACAGTTCCTTATTACATCCCATTTCCTAGCCATAGGAGCTGGTTTGACCTCGTTCGCACAAATACGCAGCACGTGGCGCTTGTTTGTGCATTTGCAGGCCTGAAACTGTGCAAGGATAGGCCTGTGCGCAACATGTCAGTGTTTCAACGTCTGGGTGTTGTTTTTACCTCTATTTCTTTGCACAGTTCCCTAGTACATTCTATTTCCTAGCGATAGGAACTGGTTTGTGTCAGAATGTTATAATTGTCTAGCCTGCAGTGGGGTACTCCATAGTGAGTACAGCCCAATTAGGGTTTGCTATATGTGTCCAACTGCTTGCTAGTGAACATCCTCCTTTCTTCATTCTTTCTTTCTACTACTACTTCTGACATGCTATCAGAGCAGGTCGATCCCCTTGGGTCGATCCTGTGGGTGGGCCCACCACCTCACTGCTTCCGCTGCTACTGCTACTCTGTGTGTTGCACGCCCCGTGGCGTGCGACGGATTTTTCATCCCGCCGCGCGCTCGGAGCGTGCGGCGGTTTTCTGCCCGCCGTGCGCCCCGAGGCGCGCGGCGGTTTTCTGCCCGCCGTGCGCCCCGAGGCGCGCGGCGGTTTTCTGCCCGCCGTGCGCCCCGAGGCGCGCGGCGGCTTTCTGCCCCGTCACTCCGCGCGTCGCTCCCGGGAGGCGCTGCGACGGGCGACGGGGACCCGCGCGTCGCCCCCCGTCGCCCGTCGCGGCCTGCGCGACCTGCGTAGGGCCCGCGCGCGGCCCGTACAGCCTGCGCGCGGCCCGTACGGGCTGCGCCAGGCCCGCGCGCGGCCTGTACGGGCTGCGCCAGGCCCGCGCGCGGCCCGTACGGGCAGCGCCAGGCCCGCGCGCGGCCCGTACGGGCTGCGCCAGGCCAGGGCGCGCCTCGGGCCGCCCGCACGCGGTTCGTACGGGCTGCGCCAGGCCCGTGGGCGCCCTGTTTCCTCTTCCCCTGCGCTGCCCGTTGTCCCCCGTGCTTCTGACGGCGCCCCACCCCTGCTGCTGCCCGTTCTCCTGAATTAGGGTTTGGGGATGGGGGGTATGGGGGTGCAGTTTCTGTGCGTCGTCCCCTGCTCCTCCTCCTCCTCCGTCTCCCAGTGCTGCAGCTGCCGCTGAGGGGGGTGGGTGTGTGGGAGCCGAAGGAGTGGTACTAGGGGGGTGACGTGCAAGTGGAGTTAGGAGTGAAGCAGTGGGTGTGTGGGGGGTGTGTGGGACAGTTGGAGGAGGTTGAGCGGAGGCTGCTGTCTTGTCGTCCGCAGCACCTGTAGTCCGGGGCGCACTGTCCTGGTAGCCCAGAGAGTCTGCTGCGCCTGTCGCCCGAGGGTCCGTTGCTCCTGTAGCTCGTCGTAGCTCGTGAGCCAGTTACTCCAGTAGTCCGGGGCGCACTGTCCCGGTAGCCACTGTGCCAGCAGCTCCTGTTGCCCGTGTGTCTGCAGCTTCAGCCGCCGTCTCTCATCTTCTCTCCTCTCACAGTCCCTCCTCCTCCTCACTTGCCCGCTGTGATTACCTCTAGATTTGCTTATAATTGTGAACTATTACTATGCTTGCTTGTTGTGCTGATTACACCCCACTTTGGCTATGGGGGTGTGTCAGAATGTTATAATTGTCTAGCCTGCAGTGGGGTACTCCATAGTGAGTACAGCCCAATTAGGGTTTGCTATATGTGTCCAACTGCTTGCTAGTGAACATCCTCCTTTCTTCATTCTCGTTCACCTCTACTTTACAACAGTTTGACCTCGTTCGCACAAATACGCAGCACGTGGCGCTTGTTTGTGCATTTGCTGGCCTGAAATTGTGCAGTGATAGGCATGTGCGCAACATGTCAGTGTTTCAACGTCTGGGTGTTGTTTTTACCTCTGTTTCTTCGCACAGTTCCCTAGTACATCCTATTTCCTAGCGATAGGAACTGGTTTGACCTCGTTCGCACAAATACGCAGCACGTGGCGCTTGTTTGTGCATTTGCTGGCCTGAAATTGTGCAGGGATAGGCCTGTGCGCAACATGTCAGTGTTTCAACGTCTGGGTGTTGTTTTTACCTCTATTTCTTCACACACTTCCCTAGTACATCCTATTTCCTAGCGATAGGAACTGGTTTGACCTCGTTCGCACAAATACGCAGCACGTGGCGCTTGTTTGTGCACTTGCTGGCCTGAAACTGTGCAAGGATAGGCCTGTGCGCAACATGTCAGTGTTTCAACGTCTGGGTGTTGTTTTTACCTCTATTTCTTCGCACAGTTCCCTATTACATCCTATTTCCTAGCCATAGGAACTGGTTTGACCTCGTTCACACAACTGCGCAGCACGTGGCGCTTGTTTGTGCACTTGCTGGCCTGAAACTGCGCGAGGATATGCCAGTACGCAACATGTCACAGTTTCATCATGTAGTTGTATTTTTTAGCACAATTTCTTCACACATTCAGTTATTTCACTTAAATACCTTGCCATAGGAACTGGTTTGATCTAATGCGCACAACTACGCAGCACGTGACGCTTGTTTGTGCGTTTGATGACCCGAAACTGTGCAAGGATAGGCCAGCACGCAAGATGTCACCGTTTCATCATCTGGTTGTCTTTTTTAGCACCATTTCTTCACACATTCGAGTAGTTCAATCAATTCATTTGCCATAGGAACCGGTCTGAGCTAATTTACATAACTACGCAACGCTTGACGCATGTTTGTGCAATATAATGTTGACAGTTCCTGGTACTTCAAGTAAATTCTAATATACACATACTAAAAACTACTCGTTGCAATTTGGTTGACACTCCCCTTGAAATAGGGTTGGTAAGCAAGGTGAGTGCAAGAAATGCAACAAATTTGAATATATCATGACTTTATAGAACACTATAACACTTCCACACTTCAAGACTGTATTGGTGGTGGTGGGGTGGAGTGGAGAAGCGAGAGGCTGTGCAGCAGCACTCTGGTGCACCATCACAGTGAGGCGCAGGTGGACCAACGCCACGTCAGTTGGGCGAAGCGCATCTGGCAGGTCCGAAAGTTCTGCTCGTGCGTCTCACGTCAAGCGACTCGTCACTTCTGTTTCGAGTTCGGGCAGTTATGGCAGCTGTTGTAACGAGTTTTTCAGGTTTATGCTACAGATTGATTGGTTCGTTAGCACGTTAGCAGAATCCCCCAAAGGACATTACGGGTGGCGGGCACCAAACAACTTTGCTACTTTTTCGTGGTTGGAACAGATAATACATGAATCTCAGATTAACCAATGGCGTCACCACTTGACACCCAACAGAGCTGCACGAGCCAATCATCGAACGCCGCTGTGCCAACAAATACCAGAAGTGCTGGCAGATGAGCGCCAGCGAAGCAGACGTTTTGTACGCTCAGTTTTGCCTTATCGCCACGTGAGCGCCAGCGAAGCAGACGCAAATTGCGTCACGCAACGCAAACTTCACCACCACCACCTTGGGCTTCCCTTCCTCCCATGTCTTGCCCCCACTTTTGAACCGAACCCAAGCCTCCTAGCGCATGTAAAATGAGCAACTCTGTTGCAACCCTCGTAAACCTGTGAGGAGCTTTTCTCTCGCGCTAGAGTAGGCCATTACTGGGTCTGCTTTGTTCCTCGCTGATCTGCCGTTAGTTTCTGCAGATGCTTTTCGTCGCTTAACCGTGAGTTAATAAAACGTTCCCGAGCATTTTCCTTCTGCTGTGTTTTTACTACGTTGTTTGCTGTTCATACAACATCCTTGTTCCCTGCTGTTTTCTTCAGAAGTATTCATTTCCTTCATTCCCCGTTGACCACATTCATAATAACTAATTTTCTTCAGTTTTTTCCGCGCACTAGCTTCTCACAAGCAGGTATAGCGCGTTTTGGTCCGTTTTTTCCTCGCTGATCTGCCGTTAGTTACTGCAGGCGCCTTTCGTCGCTTAACCGTGAGTAAAATAACGTTCCCGAGCATTTTCCTTATGCTGTGTTTTTACTACGTTGTTTGCTGTTCCAACGACATCCTTGTTCCCAGCTGTTTTCTTCGTAAGAGTTTAGTTCCTTCATTCCCCGTTGACCATTTTCATAATAATTGATTTCCGTTAAACAATTTCCCGAACTAGCTTCTCACGAGCAGGTATAGCGCGTTTTGGTCCGTCTTTTCGTCGAACGACTTGGGCGATCTTCTTATATTGTCTGTTTCGTAAAACTACCTGGTATTGCTCCGCCGTGTTTCTCCCCATTCAAGGCTAACTGTCAGAATATTATAGCTCATGCATATTGTGTAGGCTATAGTGGGGTAACCCATAAGGGGTACAACCCAATTAGGGTTAGTACTTGTACCCAATTCATTCATAGTTCATTCATTCCTTGTTTCTTATCATGGTATCGAGCAGGTTCCCTCGTGGGAACTGTTCCTAGGGCCCACCGTTTTTTTTTTTTTTCCTGCCCGGAACGCACTCAGCCCCTGCCCGAGTCGCGCTCCCCTCTCTCGCGCCGCCCTAGCGGCCCCTTCGCGCCGCCCTCACGGCCCCTTCGAGCCGCCCTCGCGGCTCTGTCGCCCTACCCTAGCGACCCCGCGGCCCCACCCTCGCGGCGCCGGCCGCCTCCCTTCGCGGCCCCGATCCGCCGCCCTCGCGCCCCCCCCCCCCCCCCCCCCACTCCGCCGCCCTTCGCGGCCCCTACTCCGCCGCCCTCGCGGCCCCGATCCGCCGCCCTCGCGGCCCCGATCCGCCGCCCTCGCGGCCCCGCTCCACCGCCCTCGCGGCCCCGATCCGCCGCCCTTCGCGGCCCCGATCCGCCGCCCTCGCGGCCCCTACTCCGCCGCCCTCGCGGCCCCGATCCGCCGCCCTCGCGGCCCCGATCCGCCGCCCTCGCGGCCCCTACTCCGCCGCCCTCGCGGCCCCTACTCCGCCGCCCCCGCGGCCCCGATCCGCCGCCCTCGCGGCCCCGATCCGCCGCCCTAGCGGCCCCGACCCCTGCTCCTACGGCCCCGGCGCCTGCTCCTACGGCCCCCACGCCTACTCCTACGAGCAGCCCAGCCGCCGAGCCGCCCGGCAACCGAGCAGCCCAGCCGCTGAGCCGCCGAGCCGCCCAGCAACCGAGCCGCCCAGCCGCCGAGCCGCCCAGCAGCCGAGCCGCCCAGCAGCCGAGCCGCCCAGCCGCCGATACGCCCAGCAGCCGAGCCGCCCAGCAGCCGAGCCGCCCAGCCGCCGAGCCGCCCAGCAGCCGAGCCGCCCAGCAGCCGAGCCGCCCAGCCGTCGAGTCGCCGAGCCGCCCTGTAGCCAAGCCGCCCGAGCCGCCCTGTCCGGTAAGAGCAGCGCCTCTCTCACAGCACTGCCCTCACCCTACTGTTTGCACTGCTAGTCTACTGCTGTCATGGCTACCCCTAGTGTCCTCGCTTTTGACGCTGAGGGTCGGGCCATTGACTTTGAAGTCTGGATAGATGACCTGCAGCTTTTCTTACAGTGCGATAGGGCAGACGGCCTCTCCCTCTTTGACCTCACTTCTGGTGCCTCTCCTGCCCCCGCTACTGATGCTGACGCCACTGTTCGCTCACAGTGGGCCACGCGCGATGCTGCTGCACGTCTTGCTGTGCGTCGCCACCTACCTACCTCTGAGCGTGCGCACTTTAGCCAGTACAAGAGTGCTCAGACCTTGTACGACGCTGTAGTTGCACGCTACTCCTCCCCTGCCACTGCTGCACTGAGCCGCCTCATGCTACCGTACCTCTTCCCTGACCTTGCTGCCTTTCCCACAGTCGCTGACCTCATTACGCACCTCCGCACTAGTGACACTCGCTACCGCGCTGCGCTTCCTGCTGAGTTCTGCGCCAAGAACCCCCCCCCCATGTACATCACCCTCTACTACATAGTCACCCGTCTCCCTGACTCCCTTCGCGTAGTCAGGGACCACTTCCTCTCGGTTTGCCCCACCACTCTCACCGTTGACCTCCTCGAGAAGGCCCTCCTAGCAGCAGAAAAGAGCATAGTCGCTGTAGGAGCCTCTCGTGGTGACCCTCGCACCCCCATCTTTGAGGGGTGTTCCCCCTCCCCTCTTTTGCCCTCTGTTGCCTCTGTTGCTGCGGCCGACCTCGCAAGTTTGGAGTCGGTTGGGGCAGCGTCTACCCCTAGCGGGAGACGCCGCCCTGGCAAGGGCAAGGGGGGCAGGGGCGCTGGAGGAGCTAGCGGGGGCGGTGGAGGCGGCGGTGGAGGCGGTGGAGGAGGTGGGGGTGGCGGTGGGGGTGGTGGCGGGGGTGGAGGTGTAGGTGGCGGCAGTGGAGGCGCAGGCGGCAGCAGCGGTGGCGGAGGGAGCGGAGGTGGCGGCGGTGGAGGAGGAGGCGGCGGAGGAGGTGGAGCTGGTCGGGGTGGCGCTGCGCAGAGGGTCGGCTCCAGTGGTGGTCAGCGCCAGCAGCAGCAGCAGCAGCAGCAGCGCACTCGTGACGTCCCCTCCCCTCAGCAGCTCCGTGAGTGGTACACTGCACGCCAGAGGGGTGGGGGTACTGGTCCGTGCACCTACGTCCTGCGCACCGGCGACCGCGCGGGTGAGCAGTGCGGGGGTGCGCACTCCACCCAGCGCTGCTTTGGCCGCCTGACGGACGCTTGGCGTCACCAGTTCCCTGAGGCCACTGAGATCCCCCGCTGGGGTGAGCTGTCTAGGGCGGGTGTAGCTGTCTTTGACCTTGACTTTGATGCTATTCTTGCTGCCATGTATACTGTGACTATTAGTGATGAGGGTGACTGTTACCGGTGTTTTCCGCCCGACCCGGGCATTGAGACTGCTGCTCTAGGTACTGGTGAGGCTGCTGCTCTAGGTGCTAGCGAGGCTGCTGCTCTAGGTGCGTCTGCTCCCTCAGGTACTGGTGAGTCTGCTCTCTCAGGTTCTGCGTCGGCTTCGGCCTCCCACACCTTCACCCTTGACTCGGGGGCTTCTCGCTCCTTCTTTCGAGACCGCACCACACTCACGCCGCTTGGCCGGCCAGTTGCGGTCTCTCTGGCAGACCCCTCTGGGGGTCCGGTCCTTGCTCACTTCTCCACTGTCCTCCCGTGTCCGGCAGCCCCCTCTGGCACCCTGTCTGGTCTTTACCTCCCCTCGTTCTCTACGAACTTGGTGAGTGGTGCTGACCTACAGGATGCGGGGGTTCACCAGTTCACTCCTGCGAGTCAGCGGGTGACCCACTGCACGGACGCTCGGACAGGCCGACACCTGGCCACGTTTACACGTCGGCCGGGGTCGAGCCTGTACACACTGACCACTGCGTCTCCCCCAGTCCCTGCGTCTGGTCAGGTAGCTGCGTCGGGTCAGGTGTTTGCTGCAGCGTCCAGGTCTGGTCCTGAGTCTGCCCCCTGCTCGTGTCGCCTCCTGTCTCACGAGACTCTCCTCTGGCACCACCGCCTTGGTCACCCCTCCCTGCTTCGTCTCCGGAGCATGGCCTCCCGTGTCCTTGTCTCTGGTCTTCCCCGGTCCCTCCCTCCACTTCCTCCGGGGCCTGGCCCTACCTGCGTCCCCTGTGTCGAGGGACGACAGCGGGCTACCCCTCACTCCTCCCAGTTTCCTCCGACAGAGGCCCCGCTGCAGACGCTTCACATGGACGTGTAGGGCCCGGCCCGCGTCCGTGGACAGGGTCACGAGCGCTACTTCCTGCTGGTGGTTGACGACTACTCGCGTTACACCACAGTCTTCCCCTTGCGCAGCAAGGGTGATGTCACTGAGGTGTTGATCGACTGGATCCGCGCAGCTCGTCTCCAGCTCAGGCGGAGCTTCGGCTCGGACTTTCCTGTTCTGCGTCTGCACTCTGACAGAGGCGGAGAGTTCTCCTCTGGCCTTCTGCGAGCCTACTGTCATGCACGAGGCATCCGCCAGACCTTCACGCTTCCGGACTCTCCACAGCAAAATGGGATTGCTGAGCGCCGCATTGGCATGGTCAGGGACGTCGCCCGTACGTCCATGATGCATGCGACTGCCCCCCATTTTCTGTGGCCGTTTGCGGTTCGGTACGCGGCGCATCAGATCAACCTTGCCCAGGGTCTCCATGCCGGAGACCTCCCCAGCCTTGCTGTGGACGGGGAAGGTTGGCGATGCGTCTGCGTTCCGTGTCTGGGGATCTCGGGCGTTTGTCCGCGACTTGTCTGCGGACAAGCTTTCCCCTCGTGCTGCTCCTTGCGTCTTCCTGGGTTTCCCCCCTGACGCCCCAGGGTGGCAGTTCTACCACCCCACCTCTCGCCGTGTTCTGTCCTCCCAGGACGTCACGTTCGACGAGTCGGTCCCCTACTACCGCCTCTTCCCCTACCGCACTCCGTCCCTCCCCCCGCCACCGCTCTTCCTTGTACCAGGTCCCCCCCCGGTAGACCCCCTCCCCCCTCAGGGTCCTGCCCCTTCAGGTGTGTCCCAGGTAGACGCTGTTGAGCCTGTCGAGGTCGCTGGTGACTCTGGTGCTGCTGAGGGTGCTGAGCCTGGGGGTGCTGACTCTGGGGGTGCTGAGCGTGTGGGTGCTGACTCTGGGGGTGCTGAGCGTGTGGGTACTACGACTGGGGGTGCTGAGCCTGGGGGTGCTGCGTCTGGGGGTGCTGAGCCTGGGGGTGCTACGCCTGGAGGTGCTGAGCCTGGGGGTGCTGCGTCTGGGGGTGCTGAGCCTGGGGGTACTACGCCTGGAGGTGCTGAGCCTGGGGGTGCTACGCCTGGTGGTGCTGTGCCTGGCGGTTCTCCGGGTGCTCCCTCTCGCCGGGAGCCACTCTCTCCCCAGGAGCTGCGTGAGTGGTTTGCCCGGCGCTGGAGGCGAGCTGCTGGAGCTGGAGGTGCTGCGGGTACTGGAGGTTCTGTTGCTGCTGAGAGAGCTGGTGCCACGGGTCCCGGAGGTGCTCGTACTGGGAGTACTGGAGCTGCTGGACCTGCGGGTACTTCTGGAGCTGGAGTTGCTGCGGGTGTTGGCGCGGAGGCTACTGCTGTCGGTCCTGGAGGCGGTCCTGCTGGGGGTACTACTGGTGCTGCTGGGGGTTCTGGAGCTGGAGCTGCTACTGGTGCTGGTGCTGCCGCTGGGGGTGCTGGTGCTGTCCCTCCTGTGTCTGGAGTCGCCGCGCGGCCTCGGCCGTACTTCGTTCCGCTCCTTCAGCAGGTTCTTGGTCTCCCGCCTTCTACTGGTCCTCCTCCTCCCTTAGAGTGTCCACAGCCTGTCCCGTCGCAGTTACAGTTACAGCCGGCCTCCCCACTGCCTGCTCCGTCTCCCTACACTGGTCCTACTGGAGGTCTTGCTGAGCGTCGTGAGCCTGCGTCTCGCCCTGCGTCGCCTGTCCGTGCTGCTCGCACTAGTGGTCGCGGTTCGCGTCAGCGTCCTCCTCCTGTCCCTGGCACGCACCGGATGTCTCTGCGTCCGTCCACTGCTCCCCTGCGTGCCCCTTTGCCTTCTCCTCCTGAGTCTTCTCTTCCTGCTCTTGCCGACCCGGAGTCGGACTCTCTTCGTGCTGCCAGTCCTACTGTCACGCGTCTCCTTGCTACTGTTGTCACTGACCCTTCCGTTGAGTCCACTGCTGCGTCTGCCCTAGTTGCTGAGCTCGTCGACTTTGCTGCTCGCTGTCGCCTAGACTACGTCGCCAGTCTTGTTGCTGAGTCTGAGTCTGTCTGTCCTCCGTCCGTCGGGGGTGAGTGTGCCCTTGGCACGGACGTCCTTGAGGACAGGCAGGAGGAGTTCCAGTGCTTGGCCGCTGCTTCACCTCATCTCGTGTCCGTACTGCTTACCCCTGAGGGAGACCCGGATGCACTTGACATCCCGACTCCGCGCTCTTACGCGGAGGCGATAGAGGGTCCCTACTCCTCTCAGTCGCAGGCAGCTATGGACGCAGAGATGGCTTCCTGGAAGTCCACAGGCACCTACGTTGACGCTGTTCCCCCTCCTGGGGCGAACATCGTCAGTGGCATGTAGATTTTCAGGGTGAAGCGACCGCCGGGTTCTCCGCCTGTCTTCAAGGCGCGTTACGTGGCTCGTGGCTTCAGTCAGCGGCAGGGAGTTGACTACTTTCAGACCTTCTCTCCCACCCCGAAGATGACCACTCTTCGGGTACTGCTGCACGTAGCTGCCCACCGTGACTACGAGCTACACTCTCTTGACTTCAGCACTGCTTTCTTGCAGGGCAGCCTGCACGAGGAGATCTGGCTGCGTCGCCCACCTGGCTTCACTGGGTCTTTTCCTCCTGGCACCCAGTGGAGCCTACGGCGGCCAGTCTACGGTCTCCGCCAGGCACCGCGTGAGTGGCACGACACACTGAGGACTACACTTGCGGCTCTTGGGTTTGCTCCCTCTACTGCCGACCCGTCGCTGTTTCTGCGCACCGACACTTCTTTGCCGCCGTTCCACATCCTCGTGTACGTCGACGACTTGGTCTTTGCCACAGCTGACACTGCTGGACTAGCCCACGTGAAGTCCGAGCTGCAGAAGAGACACACGTGCACTGACCTGGGTGAACTGCGCAGCTACCTTGGCTTGCAGATCACTCGGGACAGAGCACGCCGCACCATTACCCTGACTCAGTCACACATGGTGCAGCAGGTCCTTCAGCGCTTCGGCTTCACGTACTCCTCGCCTCAGGCCACTCCTCTGCCTACTCGCCACTCGCTCTCAGCTCTGCCTTCGGATGAGTCCGTAGAGTCGAGTGGCCCGTACCCAGAGCTTGTTGGCTGCCTCATGTACCTGATGACCTGCACACGACCTGACCTTGCATACCCTCTTAGCATTCTTGCACGCTATGTTGCTCCTGGGAGACACAGACCGGAGCACATGGCTGCAGCGAAGAGGGTGTTGCGCTACTTGTGCAGTACGTCGGGCATGGGGCTTGTGCTTGGAGGGCAGAGTCCAGTGGTCCTTACTGGGCACGCAGACGCTTCTTGGGCTGACGACCAGGCTACGCAGCGGTCGTCACAGGGTTACACCTTCAGCCTTGGTTCCGGCTCTGTTTCGTGGCGGGCTACCCGCTCGTCTTCTGTTCTCGGCTCCAGTTGTGAGGCTGAGATCTACGCAGGAGCCATGGCTGCACAGGAGCTTCGCTGGCTCACCTACCTGCTGACTGACCTCGGAGAGCTGCCTCGTTCTCCTCCAGTGCTGTACGTAGACAACAAGGCCATGCTGGCCTTGTGTCGGGAGCAGCGACTGGAGCACAGAACGAAGCACATTGCTCTCCGCTACTTTCTTGCTCGTGAGCTGCAGCAGCGTGGTCAGCTGCGTCTTGCGTACGTGGCCTCTGAGGCCAACACTGCTGATATCTTCACCAAGGCGCTTGCGCCTTGTGACCATCAGCGCTTCTGTACTCAGCTGGGCCTTGTGCCTACCTTGCCTCACTTGCTCACCTCTTGACCTTGCTTGTGCTGTTACATATATTTATACCTGCTCTTGCTTGTCTAGCCTTTATATATATATGTACTCCTGCATGTGAACTGGCCTTGTGGCCTTGAACTTGTGCTCGGAATGTGTGGTGACTTTGTGATCCACCCTGAGCTTGCTTTGCTTTACTTTGCTTGACTGGTCTTGTGACCCCTTGTTCTCCCCCACTTTGCCTATGGGGGTGTGTCAGAATATTATAGCTCATGCATATTGTGTAGGCTATAGTGGGGTAACCCATAAGGGGTACAACCCAATTAGGGTTAGTACTTGTACCCAATTCATTCATAGTTCATTCATTCCTTGTTTCTTATCACTAACATGAACCTCGTGCCGTTTGTAATGTCCTCACTTCTGCAGGGTACAAACATACTGCAGGGTGCACTCGCGTACAGCAGGGCACATTCGCGTAATGCAGACTTGTTTACATTTACTAACTCTTTTTTCCTGAACTAACATTCTGTTTCCTGACATGCAGGTTTAATCGTGTTGCTGAATGTACTGATGAGAAACGGCAAGGATTGTTATTTTTGCAGCCTAGTATTTCCAGCTCAACATTCCAGGGTATTCCAGTGTACTGGCTACATATTTGGGAAGAAATGTATTTCAGGAACATGTGCTTTTCATTGTGTAAAGACCAAGGATATGAAGATCCCTGGTTTTTGTTTCTTGCTTAATGTCAGGATTTGCTGTATATATTCTAAAGATTTCGGAAGCAATTGCTATTTCACTGACATCATTACAGAAATCGAAAATAAAAATGAAATCGAATTGGATTCACTAGTTTACGATATGCGGAATTTCCCGGACAAATGTGAATTGAGGTGTACATTGTGGTAACGAAGTGTATTTAGCTGTAACAGTAACCCTGTGTGTCCTCTTGGAGCCAACAAGCAGGCAGTCGCTAACTACGCGACATCACCCCAAAAACTGGCGAACTCGCCCAGCTCCTCTCGTTCCCCACCTAAACCTGGGTGGTACCAAAATGGCCAAGAACTGCGCCACCGTAAACTGCTCGATTTTCAACCGCCCCAAACAGGCGCAAGTCACCAACTTCGACCGCTTACATCCCTATGTTAGAGGGTACTGTAGCACAAAGCAGGCCCGTAACCGGCAGATCGCAACCTGCGCGGAAACAGACGGTTTCGGGCAATATGCCACTCCAATTACGGGGCGCATGGAAACCCGCCGATTTCACCAGACTAGTCCTGCAGATTCGCCCAAATACTGCCGGAAATTCTTTGCACATTTTTCTGATGTGCCACTACGACCTTCCCGGGCTCGAGCGAGAGGACATCAAGAACCAGCCTTTCATGAAGATCTACCACGATGGAGAAGTGCTTCAGACATTCCGTAATCTCGAGGATCCGACGGCCCTGAAAGAATCTCTCAAAAGCGCGAGAACATGCCTCGATGGTATTGCGCCGCCGTTCCAGTGAGGCTGTAAATGCTACCTCAAGGTCAGCTCTGGGAGAATCGAAGGTCATTACACTTGGGAGGAGTACCCACTCAGCTGACTTGGTCAGTTCGTGAGATGGACTGTATTTGCACTATAATGAAATCGAGTTGGAGTTTCAGGGATCGGTTAGAGTTTGTGGTCGCTGTATGCTGATTCATTGTGCAAAATATAGATTGAAGGCCGAGGTAGCATGTGACGTGTGTATAAGTTCCTGCTGCACTTGTGGATCGGATGAAAACCCAATATTTCCCACACTAGTTAAAAGCTCTTCATATACACCTTAAGAACCCTAATGAAGCTCTTGATTATGAAATCAGCTAGAGTGCTTGTGTTGTGATGTGATTCTGTAGGATCGTCATTATTGTTGGTAGGCATTGCACGAAAGGGGAGCGAAGCAGTTGATAGTAGATGAGGCGAGGCGAGGACAGCACTGACCGAAGCAGAGAAGGGAAGATGGCCCCTATTTCCCTGCCCTTCCCCCTCCCCACCCTCTCTGCCCTCCCCTCTCCCCCGTTCTTCAGACAATGTAGGCAGAGCGCATAGCGTGACAAGACCGTGCATTCCAGTCCAGCGTCGTCTGGCGCGGTGCTGATGCCACGCAGAAGGCGCGCCGCGCGGGACGGTGCTGGTGCCACGCAGATGGCGTTTAGCGCGACCTGCTGCCCGTGATTGAAGGCAGGTGGGGCATCATGATTGAAACGAGGCAGGTATGGGTTCATGCTATGGGATGGCGTGCTATGGCATGGCGTGTTATGGCATGGTGTGTTATGGCATGGCGTGTTATGGCATGGCGTGTTATGGCATGGCGTGTGACGGCATGGCGTGTTACGGCATGGCGTGTTATGGCATGGCGTGTTATGGCATGGCGTGTGACGGCATGGCGTGTTACGGCATGGCGTGTTATGGCATGGCGTGTTATGGCATGGCGTGTTACGGCATGGCGTGTTATGGCATGGCTGGGTGAATGAAGGTGGGGATCATCAGATGACCTACGACCTTCCCCCAATCCTCGGCCCGATTCTCGCCCCCATTGTCCCCCCATCCCACTCCCCCGAATCCCCCCCCCCCTCTCTGATCCCTGTCCTCCCCACCTTGCCCCCATCCTCTCCCCCCCCCCATTCCTCTCCCCTCCCCCCCCCCTCCCCCCCCCCCCCCCCCTCTCTCCCCAGCACTGCACATCAACAAGGACCAGATTCTCTTCAGTGCGTCTTAACCCCCCTTTCCCCGCACCCTCCCCCCTCTCCCCTCTTTCAACCCTCGCCTCAGCCTCCCCTCTCCCTCCTTCTCCCCCTCCCCACATTGGCCCCGCCCTCTCCCCCTCCTCCCAATCACCCTCCAAACTGGCTCTCTAAGAAACGATCTAAGCTAGCACGACACCAGGTTCTTTTCCACCATCATTGCATGGGGTTTGTTTCTCTGTCCTAAACAGCAAGAGTTGATGGAAATAAGGCCTCCGCAGCCCACCTGTTCTACTTCGACAGCTCCTCCCAATCACCCTCCCTAGCTAGTATCCACCATGCATGGCAATGTCAGCACGGGCCACATTCCCTTCATCGCCAGACAAGCTTTCACTGCCTGCCGCCCTCGTCCAGTATGGCAAGAGATATACTTCCCATCAGACATGCCGCACGTGAAGGTGTGTTCACTGCCTGCCGCCCATCCGAGATGCTGGCAGAGCTGCAGAGGGGCCTGCACTAAGGGAAGAACTCAAGGGGCTTACGGGAGAGGTGAGAGACAGACAGGGGACTCTAATGGGAGATAGGTTGAAGGTGCTTTCACCGCCTGCCAACGGAAGGTGCGTTCACTACGTGCAAGTGCCACCCCTCCGACATGCTGGCAGAGCTGCTGCAGGGGCGCCTGCCTATCCGCGTGGAGCTCAAGGGGCTTACCAGAGCGGTGAGAGGGGTTATCAGAGTGGTGAGAGAGGGTGAAGGGGTTTACTAGAGCGGTGAGAGGACTTACCAGTGCGGTGAGAGGGATTACCAGAGCGGTGAGAGGGCTTTCCAGAGAGGTGAGAGGGGTTACTAGAGAGGTGAGAGGGCTTACCAGAGAGGTGAGAGGGCTTACCAGAGAGGTGAGTGGGCTTACCAGAGCGGTGAGAGGGCTTACCAGAGCAGTGAGAGGGCAGAGCGAATAGGGTCAAAGGACTTTGCACAGGTGAGGGTGTTTTCAAAGAGGTGAGGTTTATGGGAATCTTGTTCCTCTCTTTCTTCCCTCTTCCCTCCACCCCCTTCTCCCCCCCACCAGCATCTGTACCAAATTCTCATGTGGCTGTCCGTTCCCCTCCTATGCATGTTTCTCCCACCCCTCCCCTCTCCCTTTCCCTCTCCCTCTTCCCGCCACCTGGATCTGTGTCACATTCTCACAGGGCTTGAGGCAAACACGATCCGGCAAGGCAAGCCTCCCACTCACCCAATTTTACTGACTCACTCACTCTCACTCATCAGCAAGGCAAGGCGATTCATTTCGCAAAACTTCCTCTCCCCCTTCCCATTTCTCCCCACCTCCCCCCATTCCCCCTCCCCCTGCCCTCCCCCCCCACACCAGGATCTGTATCGCATTGTCACAGAGCCATGCGGTACTGAGTTGTGGGATGTGTTGTGATGGGTAGCAGATGCTGGTCATGGTGTTGCATGCTGTTGCGCATGGTCATGGAGGGGGTTCATCTCGCCTTCACTGATGCTGCCATCCAAGGGGCTGCTATACTGGCCGCAGAGGTATGTGTTTGTACTGAGGCGTGTCATCCGGTACTGAGGTGTGGTAAGCGTTGTGTAAAAGAGTGGTTGTGGTGAAGTGCTGAGGGTGCTGAGATGTGCTGAGGTGTGCTGAGGTGTGCTGAGGTGCGCTGAGGCATGCTGAGGTGTGCTGAGGTGTGCCGAAGTGTTACATGCTGCTACTAATGGCCATGAAGGGAGTGCACCTCGTATTCACTGACGCTGCCATGGCCGCAGAGGTGTGGCATGCGGTGCTGTGGTGTGGCATGGGGTGCTGTGGTGTGGCATGCGGTGCTGTGGTGTGGCATGAGGTGCTGTGGTGTGGCATGAGGTGCTGTGGTGTGGCATGAGGTGCTGTGGTGTGGCATGAGGTGCTGTGGTGTGGCATGAGGTGCTGTGGTGTGGCATGCGGTTCTGTGGTGTGGCATGAGGTGCTGTGGTATGGCACGTGTGTCGCGATATATATTTATATATGTTTATAACTGCCTGTAGCTTTAGCTTTAGTGTAGTTATGTTTCTTTGTTGTGGTGGTGCACCTCTTTGTTTCTTTGCTATATGTTCTTGCAAACCTATAGTGAAGACACACATTCTCGATTCTCTCTTGGCACAACTCCCTCGACACCCGCTTGGCCTAGGCTACTAAGCCTAGGCCCTTAGTTAAACCCGTTCCTAGCTAAGTTCGTCTCATGACAACGTGGTGCTTCGGTGCATGTTGGTAAGTGTGCTGCGTACTCCAACAGCCAGGCCTGCTCACAGCCTGCTGCTGATGCACGCCTTTCTTGCTTTGAGTGGTGTTCAGTTGACTTCAACATAAGTTTTCTGGTGTTGTCGTGCCGTGCTTTTGTGTTTCTAAGCAAAGGCATTAGCGTTTGTCTGCCTCTCATCCCGAGCAATGGTTAGGCGTGTGTGATGTTTATTTTGGGCCATACAGAGGATCTCGTCCCTTGAGGCTACCATGATTAATAGTTTCTGTTCCATTCTAATTTGTTACGAAGGAGTCCGGCTGCCAGGGAAGCTAGTGACGTATAGATGGGTTTGGGGGTGCACTGTGCATTTCTTTTGGGCTTTTCCTGGTCGGGTAGAAGGGTAAGTGGCCACAGAATGCAAGTATGGTAGAAGGGCAAGCATGAGCAGTTCACGTTTCTGCGCTGTCTTTTGCAAGAAAGGAAGAACAAGTGCAAATTGCTGCTCCAAAGTGTGATGTGGCACTAGCTCTTTTCAGTATCCTAGCACATATTTCTGCCCTGTCGTTGGCAGGTGCAGGCTGCTGCTCCAACCTGTGATGCGACACTAGGTGTCTAGCGTAGCTGTTTTGGAACGGAAAAAACAAGCCGTGTATAATTACTCTCCCCAATATGGAAAATTCGGGCCTAAAACTGTTAACAATGTAATCAATGATCATGGTCATCATTTATATAATCTGAAGGTACGTCTTCTACTAGTCGTACGTATTTTATCTGTCATGTAGATCAGTCTTGCTTATAGAACTGTAAAAATTTGCAAAAAAATCTCTTGACTGTTAGGCTGTCGCGGATCGCGTAGTATCACCGTCCACCACTGACAAAGCGCCACCTTCTCAGTCCTCGTCAGTCGCTCGTTCCTTCTTGACCGCTGCCTATCACTAACCGCGCCTGATTACTACCCACATCACTGAACCGCAGGCGACCGAGATCTTAACCTAAGATACCACTGACAGATCTCTGCCACCAGAAACGATATGTATGCATTCATCCTAGGCCTACAACATTTGCGCTAGCCTGACTGTGGGATGGGATGGTGTTGGAATCACTGAACAGGAATGAATGAACTAACAATGAAAAGAGTACAAGTACCTAACCCTAGAATTGTGTACCCCCTATAGGCTAACCCACTGTAGCCTAAACTAACACAACATATATAATGTTTGACACACCCCCATAGGCAAAGTGGGGGAGAACTAGGGGTCACAAGACCAGTCAAGGCAAAGCAAGGCAAAACAAGCTCAGGGTGGATCTCAAGGATACCACACAAATTCCGAGCACAAGCAAGTGGTCACAAGACCAGTTCACATGCAGGTTTATATATAGAGATCACAGTACAACAGACTCAAGAAGTAAGCAAGTGAGGTCCAATAGGCACAAGGCCTAGAAGAGTGCAAAAGCGCTGATGGTCACAAGGCTGAAGCGCCTTGGTGAACACATCAGCAGTGTTGGCCTCAGAGGCCACGTAACGCAGGCGAAGCTGACCACGCTGCTGCAGCTCTCGAGCGAGGAAGTAACGCAGAGCAATGTGCTTCGTTCTGTGCTCCAGTCTGTGCTCCTCACACAAGGCAATGGCTGCCTTGTTGTCGACGTACAGCACTGGAGGAGAACGAGGCTGCTCTCCAAGGTCGGTCAGCAAGTAGGTGAGCCAGCGTAGCTCCTGGGCCGCCATGGCTGTGGCGTAGATCTCAGCCTCACAACTGGAGCTGAGAACAGAAGAAGAGCGAGTAGAACGCCAAGAAACAGAACCAGAGCCAAGACTGAAGGAGTAACCCTGAGACGACCGCTGAGTAGCCTGGTCGTCTGCCCAAGAAGCGTCTGAGTGCCCAGTGAGAACAACTGGGACTCGCCCTCCAAGCACTAGCCCCATGCCCGACGTACTGCACAAGTAGCGCAACACCCTCTTAGCTGCATCCATGTGCTCCTTCCGGTGACGGCCGGGAGCGACATAGCGTGCAAGAATGCTGAGAGGGTATGCAAGGTCTGGTCGAGTGCAGGTCATCAGGTACATGAGGCAACCCACAAGCTCTGGATACGGGCCACTCGGCTCTACGGACTCATCCGAAGGCAGAGCTGAGAGCGAGTGACCGGTAGGCAGAGGAGTGGGCTGAGGCGAGGAGTACGTGAAGCGGAAGCGCTGAAGGACCTGCTGCACCATGTGTGACTGAGTCAAGGTGATGGTGCGGCGTGCTCTGTCCCGGGTGATCCGCAAGCCAAGATAGCTTGTCAGTTCACCCAGGTCTGTGCACGTGTGTCTCTTCTGCAGCTCCGACTTCACGTGGGCGAGTGCCACAGTGTCAGCAGTAGCAAAGACCAAGTCGTCGACGTACACAAGGACGTAGAACGGCAGCAGTGAGGTGTCGGTGCGTAGAAACAGCGACGGGTCAGCAGTAGAAGGCGCGAACCCAAGAGCCACAAGCGTAGTCCTCAGTGTGTCGTGCCACTCACGAGGCGCCTGGCGGAGACCGTAGACTGGCCGTCGGAGGCTCCACTGGGTACCAGGAGGGAACGACCCAGTGAAGCCAGGTGGACGGCGCAGCCAGATCTCCTCGTGCAGGCTGCCCTGCAGGAAAGCAGTGCTGAAGTCAAGCGAGTGGAGCTCGTAGTCACGCTGAGCGGCGACGTGCAGCAGAACCCGAAGAGTGGTCATCTTCGGGGTCGGGGAGAAGGTCTGGAAGAAGTCAACTCCCTCGCGCTGACTGAAGCCTCGTGCAACGTAACGCGCCTTGAAGACAGGCGGAGAACCCGGCGGCCGCTTCACCCTGAAAATCCACATGCCACTGACGATGTTCGCCCCAGGCGGGGGAACCTCGTCGACGTAGGTGCCTGTGGACTTCCAGGAAGCCATCTCTGTGTCCATGGCTGACTGCCACTGAGAGGAGTAGGGACCGGCCATCGCCTCTGCGTAAGAGCGTGGGGTCGGGATGTCTGGTGCATCCGGGTCTCCCTCAGGGGCAACAAGCATGGACACGAGATGGGGCAAAGCGGCAGCAAAGCACTGGAACTCCTCCTGCCTGTCCTCAAGGACGTCAGTGCCAAGAGCACACTCACCCCCGACGGACGGAGGACAGACAGACTCAGACTCAGCAACTAGGCTAGCAGCGTAGTCTAGACGACAGCGAGCAGCAAAGTCGACAAGCTCAGCAACTAAGGCAGACGCAGCAGCAGACTCAAAGGAAGGGTCAGTGACAACAGTGGCCAGGAGACGCGTGACAGCAGGACTGGTAGCACGAAGAGAGTCTGACCCAGGGTCAGGAAGAGCAGGAAGAGAGGAAGCAGGAGGAGACGGCAGTGGGACACGCTGTGGAGCAGTGGACGGACGAAGCGCCATCCGGTGAGTGCCTGGGACAGCAGGAAGACGCTGACGCTGGACTCGACGACTAGAGAGAGCAGTGCGGACAGGCGACCCAGGACGAGACTCAGGCGACGCAGGACGAGACGCAGGCTCACGCCGCTCAGTAAGACCTCCAGTCGGACCAGTGTAAGGAGCAGGACCAAGGAGAGAGGAGGCAGACGGTAACGCCGACTGCAGCTGGACAGGCTGAGGACACTCTAAGGAGGGAGGAGGAAAAGGAGGAGGAAGCTGACCAAGAACCTGCTGAAGGAGCGGAACAAAGTACGGCTGAGACCGAGCAGCGACACCAGAGCCAGCAGGGACACCCGCACCAGGGTCCGCAGCACCAGCAGCAGCTCCAGCGCCCACGTCCTCAGCACCAGCGGTATCTCCCACGCCCGGGTCCTCAGCACCAGCAGTAGCTCCAACGCCTGGGTCCTCAGCACCAACAGCAGCTCCAACGCCCGGGTCCTCAGCACCAGCAGCGGCTCCAACGCCCGGGTCCTCAGCACCAGCAGCGGCTCCAACGCCCGGGTCCTCAGCACCAGCAGCGGCTCCAACGCCCGGGTCCTCAGCACCAGCGGCTCCAACGCCCGGGTCCTCAGCACCAGCAGCAGCTCCAACGCCCGGGTCCTCAGCACCAGCAGCAGCTCCAACAGCAGCGGGGTTCGTAACACGAGGCACGCCACTCCGAAGAGTGCAGCGCCGCTCGTACCACTCACGGATCCGCTCGCGGGAGGGGAGCTCCCGAACGGGAGAAGAAGTACTAGCACCAGTCCCAGTAGTACGTCCGGCTCGAGCGGTACCTCTCCGGAGGCTGCAGTACTCTAAGTACCACGCACGTAGCTGCTCCGAGGAGAGGGCTCCTCCAGGTGCAGGACTCCCAGACCTCGTACCTCCAGACGCAGAACTCCCAGACTCCGGACTCCGCAGCTCAGTACCACGAGGCTCCACACCCCCAAGCTCAGCACCCTCAAGCTCCACACCCCCAGGCTCCACACCCCCAGGCTCCACACCCCCAGGCTCAGCACCCCCAGGCTCAGCACCCCCAGCAGGACGAGAGTCGACAGCTACCTCAACAGGCTCAACCGGGTCTACCTGAGACACACCTGAGGGAGCGGCACCCTGAGGGGGGAGGGGGTCTGCAACAGCAGCACCTGGCGAGAGGAAGAGAGGCGGGGGGGGGAGCGGGGCAGTGCGGTAGGGGAAGAGGCGGTAGTAGGGGACGGACTCGTCAAAAGTGACGTCCTGGGAGGGCAAGACTCGGCGCGAGGTG